TTGATAGTATAAATTTCCAATCATAACCTCCCGTATTATATCCAAATTCAAAATCAGGTTTAAAATTATGAAAAATTTTCGCAAAATTTAACAGAAGTGAAATTTCCGAATCACATATTATAAAATGAAAATTAGAAGAGGGACAATCAGAATATTTAGAAAAAAATAGCTGTCGATTAATCGGTAAAGTTGTGATGCAGTAGTGTTGAAATGGAGTTTGTTCAAAGATCCAATAAAAATCCATCTGAATCGCGTACACGTAAGATGTAGGTTCATGACCGATAGGAAAAAAACTGGGGTCTCGAGTATCTGATGATTCAATATCCCAAGATAACGATAATAAACGTGGTAATGAAACACAAGCAGAAACTTTTTTTATGTCTGATAGAGTCAATCACATATTATCAATCATATTTTTGTTGTTTTTGAGTTTATACTAGCCAACAAGTTCAAAATCATTTTCTCATGCAACTTTACAATAATAACATGAAAGATCATCCAAATAAATATTGTATAACTCCCACCAATTATCTTTTTCAATATTATTGTTATTATCGTCAAGAATGAATTTTAATTTAAAGTTGATTTTATATTTTATCTTTTTCAGAGCATTTTGTCGTTCCGTATGATTCAAAAAATATACACGCATGAAATTAAACTTTGCTTCTGAGTCAAACGGCTGAACAGATTTAAGTATTTTATAGTGACTAGGAAATATTTCTTTATCCACCAAATCATTGAGATAAAACATAAAATTATGTGTACTATCGAGTTTGATATCAAAAAATGGATAACCAACATCGAAATTGAGATTCAACTTGGTACCATTTTCATGAACAGCATTGATCGATAATATATATTTTTTTTTGTAAACGAATTTGTTGCGTTGTAGATAAAAAAATATGATGAATCTGATTGGATAATAGAATCTTGACGTGTGATATTCATTTTTTGATATATTATTAGAATAGCTTGAATATGAAACACATGAATAAATTTTTAGTTGGTGCAAGATGCACTAACTAAATAAATACAACTGTAAAAGAATAAAAAAAGAATAAGAGAATAAAAAAAATAAAGATTTATCAATTCAAACCAAAAAAAATATTAATTAAAATGAGATTTTAAAATATTAATATATTCGTTTTTATCACATTCAGTTAATATTTTAATATGATCGGGATAGAGCCTGTCGATATGCTGCTCGTAGAAATTACTAATTTTGTAAAGATATTTGCTATCAACTTTCTCGTAAATGCGCCTCTGTTAGAATCGTATCTTTTGACGATCAAGCATCATTTTCTTTTCACAATTAAGATAAAAGATTTTTTCAACATTTTTAATAGGGAAGATACTGTCATACACTTTTAAAATATTCTAAGAAATCACCATTGGTGATATTGGTGAGGGTGAAAATTTCTGTATCAAGATGTGTATGATCAAGAATTATATAATCGTAATCGGACAATCTGTTGATCTCTTTTACTTTTTTTTTATAGTAATTAAGAATAACATATTGAAAAAATGTAGCATTTTTTTTAACATCCTTATAAAAGAGTTTAAGCTTACGCTCGATATCAAGAAATGCTTCAACATATTAAAGAACCGTAAATTTTTGTGATTGAAGATATTCAGCTAATTTATCTGAGCACATAGTTTTACCGATAGCTATTGGACCAGTAAAAATAATGACCTTTGGCTGTTCTGTTTTAGATTTCTTGTTGACAACTTGGATTTGTTCCGG